AAGATTTGAATCCATTTAGGACGAATGATAATGGTTGCTGCGAAATACATTCTGTCCCCATTTTGAGTCATCAAATCTAAACTATTCTTTTCATGGAGGGCGATGATTAGAAGTATCAAAGCATTTTTCTCCCAGCAATGCATGTAGACATCCAAGAATATAAAAAGCATTTGAACATAGCGAAACGAATTGGAGAAGGTGAATTAACTGACTGCCTGCGCTTAATCGCGAATATCTAATTATTGCCAGTTAAAAGTTATCCAGATAATTAGTAAGCAAAGTAGGCTTGTACAAACACTCTAGCTAAGGCGGGCTTTCCGATTTAACAATAACAATACTCAAGCTGGTCACACAGAATCGAGCATAGGCTGATGGCTTGCATCAACCAAACGTTTGCGTCAAGTTTGACACAGTAGCTGTTCAATGTTCTCATGACAGCTTCTAATTTTTGACTGAAGGTGTGCCTTGGTCTTTCGCTTTCCTTTTAGCACTGAGGATTCATATTCGAAGCAAAAAAGTGATTTCAATATCAATGTATTCTTACATATTTTAAATACGGGTTGTTCGAAAACGTCACCATTATAAACTGATCAATGTTTCCAACACCAATCAATATGTTTCAACCAAATCATGTACTCAACAGTTCAAGCACTCTCTCTTCTATATTGGATGAAGTTCAGTACATCTACCAAGAATTTTGGTCAACAATATTGATTTCATCAAACTTCAATTTCTTATTGGTTGTTTCCAAACATCAAATCAGCGATCGGGTTACAAATGCATATATAACTGAGTGATGACAGCATCATTGTTAACCAGGTTTGAACAAAGAGATGCGGTGAGTATCAGCCAGGAATTTCGATTTGAAAATGTACATACTGCAAGTTCCAAATTGATCAACTGACATTAAAATATTTTGTTCACTTTTACAATTTCAGAATTAGTTCGATATCTGCATTATTATTACGGGTTGATATTTTGGTAGTTGTGCTTCTCGACATCTTCAAATGTCAGGACACATGCAAACAATTTCTTGATTTGAAACCTCAGAAATACGAAAACATAACTGATCAAACTACCTCATACAGAAAAGTAACATTCTGAATAGCTGTTTATCCATATACACAGTCTAAACATTATTACTATTCCATGGTAATTCATCGGAATCAACCTAGTCCAGACGTAAATGGAGAATTCGTTAAAATTCGTGACCTTAACGTAAGTTTTCGACAATAATTTATAAGATATAATAATGAGCATTATTATTAACCGATAGAGTTACAAATTTAAATTCTCAATCCAAATGTACGGGCAACATTATGATACGTTTTATTTATCACCCGTTGGTAAGTGTTATTTTCTTTGAATCAATGAATCATAATTATCATATCTTACTTACTTACTTACTTACGACTGTTACCCCTAATGGAGCATAGGCCGCACACCAGTGTTCTCCAACCAACTCTGTCCTGGGCTTCCCTCTCCAGTTCTGTCCAATGTTTGTTCATTCCTCTCATATCTTTCTCTATTTCTCGGCGTAATGTGTTCCTTGGCCTTCCTCTTTCCCTTTTGCCTTCAGGGTTCTATGTGAGGGCTTGTCATGTGACGCAGTTCGGTGCTTTTCGTAGTGTATGTCCTATCCACTTCCACCGCTTCTTCCTGATTTCCTCCTCCACTGGAATCTGACTTGTTCCCTCCCACAGTTCGTTGTTGCTGATGGTGTCTGGCCAACGAATACGAAGTATTTTGCGTAGACAACTGTTAATAAACACTTGTATCTTCTGAATGATGGCTTTGGTAGTTCTCCATGTTTCCGCTCCATACAGTAGAACTGTCTTGACATTTGTATTGAAGATCCTGATTTTGGTTTTGTTTGAAAGTTGTTTGGAGTTCCAGATATTTTTCAACTGTAGAAATGCAGCCCTTGCTTTGCCAATCCGCGCCCTCACCTCTGCGTCCGATCCACCTTTCTCGTCGATGATGCTGCCAAGATATGTGAAGGTGTTAACGTCCTCCAAGGTATCTCCATCAAGCGTGATTCGGTTGGTGCATGTTGTGTTGCATCGGAGAATTTTGCTTTTTCCTTTATGTATGTTGAGACCTACTGCTGCAGAGGCTGCTGCTACACTGGTCGTCTTCTCTTGCATTTGTTGTTGAGTGTGGGATAGAAGAGCCAGGTCATCCGCGATGTTCAGATCGTCCAGCTGCGTCCTAACTGTCCAGTTGATACCGTGCTTCCCTCCAGATGTTGACGTGTTCATAATTCGGTCGACGACCAGGAGAAAGAGAAAGGGTGAGAGTAAGCAACCTTGCCTGACACCGGTCCTCACCTCGAAAGAGTCTGTCAGCTGACCTCCGTGCACGATTTTGCAGTTGAATCCATCATCAGAATTCCGTATGATGTTGACTATTTTCTCTAATTATCATATCAATTGAATTTATTACGAAATATCAGTCAATTTTTGCTGTTTTTTTCCATTAATTTCACACAGGCACATTAAATTTGCACGATCATCAAGATACTTTAGTTAGCAGTGGAACCATTGAACTATTTTCTCCAGTATCTCATATTTCAAAGATAGAAAATCCTACTAATGGTGAGTTAAAACAATTCACGTTAAACTTAACTCCTTCTAATACCTATTTCACATACATAATAATTCAGTTTGATTTCATTTGTTAGTAAATTTCAATTGAACAACATGTGATTCTTGATTCAGAAAAAAGCAAACGAGCATGATTTTAGCGGAGGTAGATATGTCAACAAGGCAGTTCATATTAAACGCAGTGAATGAATAACTAATTGACAGAGTTATTCGATATTTGCTATTCATGTATATGCATATTTACATAATTTGTCACTCATTGTTATAATTTCAGAGAGTTTATTTGCTACGAATTCGACTTCTTCGGAAATGATTGGTGATGAACGTGAGTACACGTGAATTGATTGCTTGACTGAACATAAAATTCTACTACACAAACACTATGATTTATTTTGATTGCACACAACGTTTTCAATCTTTGTGAATTGTCTCATTTTAATGAATAACAAAACTGAAAGAATATCAGTTCCACAGAAAATGAATGAAGAGGAAGCATTGTTTAAGAAATGCTCTCCTCGTTTGAACCAATTGACAGAGACTTAGAGAACAGTTAATCTGAAGAGAAACACGCTTAGTTTTACGAACAGTAAATCTATCGCAATGAAATAATTAGACTGTGGCCTTATGTGATTTGTGTGAAAATGAATACAGAAATCGATATACCTGAGTGTGAATAATTGAAACATGACTTAAAAGCTGTCCCGAAAATTTGTAAGTTTCGCCTTACATGTTCGTCAGAAGGATAACAGGGTAATTGTTACGTAGGTTTTATTTTATTTTAATTAAGTTCATTACTCTCTACTTAAATTTTCGAGTCAAACTTCAACGAATTTGCTTTATCCAATTTTTGAAATTACTGCCAATTATCAATCCATGTATTTTTTTTTTACAATGATTTAACACAGCTACCATAGATTTCGTTATTTTTGAAAGCGATTCAATCAGCAGCGGAACCGGTGAACCACATTCAACTAACCTTCAATCTTCTAAGGTGGAAATTTTCAATAATGGTGAGTTATCTTAAGACACTTCGAAATCAAATAGAGTATATAAGAATGCATTTTAGAGAAGTATCGACTATCTAGAGAGATACTAGCATATCTAGCAGTTCTGCTGGTAATCATACTCATGCATTTTCGCAACTGAAATTGATGTTGGTACTCGGTCAGTTAAATCAGTCGTTTATGAGGATCAATCTATTGAGGTTATATGATTTAATGCGAACCTAACGCCTCTCCCGATGCCTTTGATAGTATTCGGTCCATTAGAGTAACAGAATTTCGGCGTTTGATATTATATGAATATTGTTTAAGAGGTATGATAGTCGTCTGAGACATTACTGGGGTAAAATAACTTACAATGAAAATATTCTTTTTGACTGACGTAAATCTTGTAATAGTAATAACTGTACTTGAAACTCACCGTCAAACCGTCAAACGTGCGCGTCGTAAGGAAATTTATACTTCTTGTGCAATCTGTTACAGTTTTGAAATGAACGAATGTTGGATATGAGCAATACTTGCTATTTATATAAATGCATATTTACATAATTACTCACTGATTGTTACAATTTCAGAGAGTGTATTCGCTATGAAATTCACTTTCCCAGAAAATGTTGACAATGAACGTGAGTACACGTGAATTGATCGCTTGATTGAATGTAAAAATCTACCACACAAATATTATGCATTTACATCAATGTAATAATTATATTTTGCTGCAGAACGACTTTTAAAATCACACTATTTCTATCTACTGAAATCAGATCACTAGATAAACAAGTTTGCAATAACATATTCCATGATAAAATATTTTTCTATTCATCACTCACATACTAAAATCATTGTTCTTTCATTTGCAGACTATTTTCGGATAATTTGTTTGATAGATAGAAATGGAAAGATAATAATATATTACGAGAACGTAAGCTGCCCAATTGAATATTACTTTGAGTGTTACAGTTGCGTTCACCCTCTTACATATCCTGATAAAGGGCGAATGTTTCGAACTGCACTTCGTACTCAAGAAATAGGTCAACATTTCGGATGTATCAGGTATTTCGGAATGTTATCGTTGTCGCTGTAGTAGCAAAATTTACTAGTCCACATAAAAACAGTTAATATCAATCCAATAGATATATGCAGACTGTTGATCAAACACTGATATTCATATTATAAAGTAAGTCAGAATATTTGTGTAGATTAAGAGGATCAAACCTCGGTAGAAACTAAGAATATAAGTGTGCTTGACTTAAATGATATTTATGATAATTACCTGGATTCCTGAACATCACTTCGATAAATAGTTGCTTTTGATATAGTTGGTTGAGTGTTGAAAGATCTTTACTCAGCTTTCCGATATTTCATTTCAGATACCTGCGGAAGGTCAAGTTACAGATTGGAACTCACGAATTCTCAGTTCTTTCAGATGCCTAGTTCATTCGCAAGGTAAGAGATGCTTCACATACTGTTGATCATTTTTTGTACAGTCTACTAAATTAGTCGGTCATTCTGTGGGTAGATCACTTCAGTATCTTACTCATGACATGTTCCATTGAAACTCCAGTTATAACATGTTTTAGTTTGACGAAAATTGGATGAAATTGTACCGCTGAGCGCTGTTCAATTGATACTTTTTCTTTGAAAACATATTAACGGCATTTTCTTGAGTGATTATTTTATTAATACACAGAATTGCCAAATATATTTAAATCTAATCATGAAGTTGATTAATATTTCGAATGAAGTCATTCGAATATCACATCATTATAAAAAAAAACTGAATGAAAATGGGAGAATGTGTAATATCAATTACATAACTATGGACTTTTCACAATCCCTACAAATGATTATAAATAATTTGTGAAAATCGAAATAAATTCGATTTGATTTTCTATTAAAGATTCCATGCGTTATCTGTCTCAAGATACACACATATTAACTTTTTAGTAAAATAACAGGGTTGGGAATGGCTCCTTGCCTTTAAACAAGTGCTGAAATTTCTTGATTGATTGATCTGTGTAAGGATATATGAGCGACCATATTTGGCTGACCATAGTTTTCCTCTCATCTACACACTTTCAACACTCACATATGTATTCTTCAGTAATTGCACTCATTCATACACTTATCTTGTTAAACATAAACGAAGTAGCGATGCCTCAAACTGATATATTTTGATTAAGTACTCATATTCCATTTAAAACTATTGTGCTCATTTACAACCTAAGCACCAGGCCCAGCTTCAAGTTGAAAATTTTGATGGAAATATTTAGGTGGATCAAGTGTTTCGCAGTCAAAGCTGAGAAAAACACACAATCTGCTTGTTGAATAAATATACTTGTATGGAATTGTATGTAGAGTGAACGATAGTTGTTGATTCAGTGCGTAAATCATTAGCTCATATGATATCTATTTCTGTTTATTAGATAAGGCAATAACCAAATATTTTTTGCCATACAATGAAATATATATTCCTGCAACTTGGATTACAAATGGTACATTGGTTGAGTTTGAACCATTGACAGGTATGCAAAAAAAAAGTAACAAGTTTAACATTGTAATTCGATTTGGTTCAGTCAAAATGAAATTTCTTAAAGTAACTTTATCAATAAACTATTCTGTTACAGTTCAATCATCTTAAATAATAATGCATTTTAAACTATGACCTGTTTTCTTTAACACTGATTGCATATGCTTGGGGGAATCATGTGAAAAGTTTTTTGTTAGACATATTCTAAAGCTATTACATTTTACAACATTAGCATAATCACAATGTGAGTAAAGACAGGATACTGTCAACCAAATGTGTACTTTGTTCATAGTCAACTGATAATTGTAACTAAAAGAATTTTTTTCAGATTCATTGTGTTGAATGTTTTAATTCGAACAGCGTATAAGTGATGGTGATTTTATTGTCATGTTTGTCATGTCATCGATTGGGATTTCATTTGATAAACTGAACTATATTCACCTGATTCTTTACACAGACTATTGTTCCAGACAAAACTCATCTCGTTTATGTCAAAGTGTATCAACAACCAATATGCAATGCTATTGGTGTAGAACAGCCAATATATGCAGTAATAAACATGATATGTATACTGCATTTTGGCATGAAAAGAATTGTCATGTAAGTATTTGTTTTAGTTGAACTGATTATTTCATCATTGCTACGTATGTCACACTGCAACTTTTATAATATAATTTACACTTATGACTCTGTATATGAATGAAGTCAATGTATAGGTCGACAATATCTTATCATACATGAATACAATGTTTCTCATGAGAAGTGAGTGGAGGAAAGAGAAGTTGTTCGAGATAAATAATCGGAGGTCAACATTTTCTCGTCCGACTTGATCAGTAGTGATTTCATAAATTCTATCAAAAATGTATATCTTCAAGATGATTACTGAAATAATGATTTTACAGTTCAAAGGTATAAGGTTGTAGTGTGCCCGATGGCTGCGTGTTCTTAAGCTCGATTTATAAATCAAAAGATGAACTCCAAGTATCGTATACGTTTATTTGAGGCACACCACATTAGGAAGCGGAGAAGCGAATTGGAGAAGGCTAGTGAGCCGACTCAAAGAGATAGAGTATGACTAAGAATATATAGTCAGATAAGAATAAGACAGACATATGACAAGCGAAATAGGTATGCACACACATGAATAAAAGCGATACAAATCATGTGAGTTCATGGGAATATTACGAGATTAACATTAAAGCGAAAAGGATGAGTAAGTGCGTAAGCGTAAGCAATGCTCAGTCGTACAAGCTCATACAAAGCAGATAATAAAAAATACCAATGGTACATATGAGTTGTTGCTATGCAAATAGCTTGGTTACATAAATTAATCAAAAAGCTTAATCAAATTAAATATGAGCGAACTCAAGTTTATGTGGAGGCACTACAAGGTGCAGTCTGATTCATAAGTATGTTTATAATTGGATTGTGGTTCGATATGAGAAACAGCACATACATCTTGTCACAAATAGGAGTCTTCAGTTTGTTGAAACAGAGTGTCAGCTCCTCGAATGATTGTCGAATTTTGTTCACTTTATTCGTTAATACCGACAGTGATGCAAAATACATCATCCATCATTGATTGATAAATGTTTGCAATTCATAATATACGTTTTGTTTAAATTTTCAGATTCATCCAAATGATCAATTTGAGGAAATTACCGAATTATCTAATCAGAAAGAAATCAGTGAAAATACAACTAAGGCTATAACTGAACAAAATCACTCTGGTGAATCTGTTCAAAACGATTACAATGTAACAACTGTAGAATCGATCGTTAATAACGAAATCCCTAAAAATAAAACTGAGGTCAGTATCGACCAAGATCATTCTAGCGAATCTGTTCAAAAAGATCAGTATGTGAAAACTGTAGAATCGATCGTTAAGAATGAAATCCCTAAAAATAAAACTGAGGTCAAAATCAAACAAAATCACTCTGATGAATCTGTTCAAAACAATCAGAATGTGGAAACTTCTCAATTATTCTCTGCAAATACAGTTGACATTAATAATGAACAATATCAACGAAACATATATATTATAGTACCGACAATGTTTTCCCTTTCTGTTTTATGCATCTTCTGTATTGTTGGCATATTGATATACAATAGAAAGTTAAATGTAAGTTTGTAACAACAAATAACTCGTGATTATCATCAATATAGAAGAACAAATTTTTCCAGTCTGACAATCCTAAGCTCTCTAAAAGTGAAGAAGTTTTACAATTTATCGGTAACATTACTGAACTATAAATACTCATACAATGTAATAAAACTTTATGAGAATGATACACTATGTTCTTAGTATGTGGAGTTCATCCTTCATTTTTAATGTTGAAATCTGTCAGAAATGTCAGTTATGTCGACTGATGACCCGTATAACCGTATTGAGCAAATTAAAATTATTGCCTACTAAACTATCGATAAGTTATCGATAACTTGTTAGATGAAAGGAAAATTCTTTACGTAACATTTATGCATACAGTACTGGTTGACAGCCAATATTTAATACTCTAATCAATCAACATTGTTACTCGACAACCGTAGTGAAAATGTGTGGCAGTATCGTCGAAGTCCTAATAACATCAATTTTGTAGAAAAATGGTACACAGAGAAGTTGTACTTATTCGATTTAGACATGATTGATTTATTTCATTATAACTTCATTCATTGTATTAAGAATGATTTTTGTCATATAATTTTCTATTCATTGTAGAAACAAAACAAATAATGTTCCAGGACTGTTTTCAAAGTGACTTTCAAGTATATGGTTGTTCAGCAAGATTCAGCAAGAATCAATCAAATACGTTCAAATAAATTCTAACACGCTGTTTTTTTTTCATTCAATGTTCATTGTTGCATAAATGTTCAATAATGACAACTGAGACAGTATTGATTACTTTTATTATTAGAAACAATCACTCTAAGTTACAGGTCACATATTGATCGTGATGTCATTTCATTTTTAAATTTTTGTTATGCTTTGTACTTTTTTGTTCAGTCAAATTTTTGGCATATTTTTGTTTTACGGGTTAATTTTTATCTTTTTTGATAATAATACATTATTTGTTCAAGTAATTTTGTTAATGCAAAGTTTTTGTTTGAATAAAGTCATAATTTATGATACAACGCAATAAATTTGGTTACTTGATTGTGATATGTTTAATATAACCTTAATGACAAGTTGTTAATGATTAGGTTAATGCTTCTATGACAACTCTGAACATTTTTACAATCAACTATAGGATGATCCCTATAAAGTGTGGCGGTTTCAAGTTATATATGTGATTTTGACTTTTATATCAAGACTGTATATGACGACAGTATGATCTTTAGTCAGGATTTTCTTTCCAACATATTTGCTATTGGGGATGAGGTTACTGATGAGGACTAAATCCAAAATATTGTGATATCTAATTGAGCTGTCAACATATGATGTCCTGTCTTCAAGCCCTAAGCATTTAACGAATGATTCAAAACGTTTTGGTGTATTGTTTTGAAAGCAAGAGATTTCAGGCATTTTGAAGTTCTAACAAATAGATTTCTCTGTAAACGATATGGATAAAGCAAATGTGATCACTTGTGACAATATTACTAGATCCTCTGTATGTTCGTTAGGATGACGGTACATATCAAGAAAACTGCACTGACGGGTTTCAGTGCCACCCACACAGAACCTTGCAGTTTATTAACTTCTGCCTCTTGATACAAGAGTGAGTTCAAGCTACATTGAGCACATATGAGACAGCCTCCATCTTATCCTTTAAACCTATCGCTTCGAAGCAGGTTGTAGTTTACAAGAGATATACTTAGACCAGAAATACTGCTGAACATGCATACCTAACATATCATTCTAAGTGATGATTGATAAACAGATGCAAACTCCATTGAATGACCACTCGCGCTTCTGTCCAAGGACCATGGTTTGTTCTAAAGTCACGGGCAAACACAAGGCATCCGACTTCATACGTGAATTGCCTTGCCGACTTTGTCTGTACCACTGTTTATGCATTACTCGGATGCATCAGGCTGAGGACCGTTTTCAGTCTTCTTACCATCAGGACTTTTGCTGTGAACATCTGCTCCCGTAACAACTCATTTGATGTTGTTTGATAAACGTACAAGAAATTTTGTAACGCGTCCGCTGGTGTCCCCTCCATTTCGACATAACCAGTGATTTTTCAAACGTATCCACAAACCTTTCCACCAGCCCATTAGACTGCGGGTGTATGGTGGCGAGCGTAGGTGCCTGATGTCTAGCCGTTGGCAGAAAGTGTGAAATTGTTTGGGGGTAAATTGAAACACATTGTCAGATACGAAAACATCTGGTATATCATTTCGCGAGAAAATTTCCGTGAGAAGATTTATTGTCTTAGTAGTCGTGTCCGACATCGAGATAAGCTGCGATCCCTGACATACCTGACAGGATTGTATCGATAGCTTGCTGTAAAATAGATGGGACGGTCTTGATTCCAAAAGGCAGACGGTTGTACTGGAACAAACCACGATGGGTATTGATAGTAGGCAACTCTTTTGACGCTTCATCTACTTCCACTTGCAAATATGCATCAGCTAGATCGAACTTTGCGAAAAACCTTCCCTCATTCAGCATGGTAAAGAGATCTGCAGGGTTCCCAATTTGTCTAATTTTTGAATGAGAGGATGGTGACATCAGATGCGGTATCTGTTTGCAATCTTCATACTTCATATCAAGGGTAATCACCTGGCGATCAGCTTTGACAGGAAGATATTAGGCTTAACCGGATCTAGGAACAGACTTCTTCGTACTTCTGGATCGGTTTGGCATTCTCTGTTGGCAAAAACCATCTTAATGACCGATGACCTTACACTTTCATGCATCGTTGTTGCCTAAGTGGGCTGTTTCGTACAAAGTGCCATGAGCTGTAGTGCCAGCAAACAGCAGGGGGATTTGTTTTCATCTTTTTGACTTAGCTGGAGTGGGATGAACTGGGTGTTATGGGGACAGATTTATTCTGGTTAGATAGCTGCTGTACTCAATGCACTTCAGATCGGCTTGATCAACCACTCTGCACTATAGTTGAGTCTCGTTGTAGATTATTAAGACGTTGGTATTCATTAGCCATGTCACTAAGGGTGAGCTTCGGATCCTACTCTAATTGACATAGTAGTTTTGTTCTTCACATCACAAGTCAAAAGTAACCTTGGTATCAGGATCATAATTAAATTCGGCTATGCCATTTGTGATACAGAGGGTTCATTACGTAAATTATCGTACCATACCAAGATCATAATACCACAGACTTAGGAAGTGAAAATAACACGCACTTTCCAAAGAGCAAGCAAAGGAATAGGGTTAGAAAAATATACATGTATAAATGAGAAAATAAATGAGTCTTCGAACCGTTAACATTAAAGAGAGGAGAATGAATATGCTCGCAGGCGTTAAGCAATAGTCATGCTTATTTTGTGGATCCACACAACGAAGCACTAGTAACTTCAGTAAATCAAATTGCGTCCAACGATTGTCTAAGTTCGAGCGAACACTGCCTCCCGTGTCATCTCAAATACAGCATCGAGAGGTCGCTCTCCCTTGAGAGGTATATACCTGTTCACGAATAGATTGAGTACGTAACCTTTGCAACAGCCTTACGAAGGACCATTTCATGTGATTTCTCATCGTCAAAAGACCTTCAAGGTTGATCGACATGGCCGCGTCGAGATCGTCAGCAATGATCGTATCATGCCAGCACATATCGATGACAGGGCCCGACCCGATTGTTCGAGACTGAATGCTAGACCCATCAAACTTACTGGCGGAATCCCTACATCTACTTCGGACCCCACTCTAGACACATCGGAGACCTCAATCTTACTTCCCAGTCAACAGCACGCCTCATCTGCACCAACTACGGGTGAAATGTCAGTCTCACGTCCACATCCCTTGACTTCAGATTAGATTGACGGCTCGTGTGGTACATACAAGACTGCCTAACGTTCTGGTCGGCACGTACGCCCACCTGTACGCTTCCACAACTAATACTCATTCCCCGACAAATACGATTTAGGACTTTATCCTCGTATCTCATACAAGCTACAACTTTTCTCTTTTTCTCTCATTTCTTTATCCTAAGCCCACGTCTGCGCCATGTTCCTGTTTGTGACATCGACTTCGGTCAATCTTGGTGAAAGCTGGCCTAATCAGCCACGCTCCTGTCAACGCAGTCTACGTCATGGTCCCGATTACGCCTTGCATACGTTTGGTATGGAACTTGATTACTGTGGTTGTTTCGCGTTGCTTCGCTCAATCTGGTACCGTCTGTAGCGTTTTCTGGTCCGGACCATAACAAACGCAATCTTCAACCTCTGGATACGAGCCACCCTGGTGTGGCGAGCTAACTCGAGCAACAGAAGTGACGAGGTAACGCTGGTGCCGTTCACAGTGAAAGACCTTCGGTGACAACTCGAGCATCATGGAACACTTCCTGTTGGTCAACCCTTCCGTCCTACAATCGTATGTTTTGCCGATCATTCCCCCAAGCATAACCGTGACGTATCAAAAGTGTGAACCTCTTCTAGCAGGGAGCTGCTCTGGTGGATCGTCTTTTATGGTTTAATAGAAATACTCATTATTGTAACCGATTGTACCAGATAATAACTGTACTTTTTGTTGATAACATTCCTTACTCGCAGACGTTCCATTGGTGTCACTGCCATCGTTGCTCCACCGTCTCTGTACTTTCGCCTCACTTTCATGGACCGATTCCGGTATTCTTTGGATACCACGAAATCACCAGCAAATACATTCCCTACCACGAATTTATTCATCATCTCAGTGACGGGTCCGTAATTATCATTTAATAGTGATCAGAGTCAATCTCGACTCAACCACCACTAAACATAAAAGCTCATGCAAGCACAAAAGTAACAAAAGCACGGTGCTTCAGAAAAGTTGTTGCTATACCAGTTATTCGACCTGCTCAGTAATTTAAAATTGGCCTAACGAAATTAAATGTAAACAAACTCTAAAGTTTGTGAGTTGCTATAGGGCGTTCATTCATGTTATGTCAAGTCACCATGATAGAGAATATAATAAATGAAATGTCACATGTGAGTTAAGTCACTGAGACTTCTTTATTATCCTATGCAGGTCTTCATAATTTCTATTAACTTAGTCCTTTTAAATCTCCTCCGTTCTTACGATCAGCATTCGCAAACCTATTCTCTCCTTTCTCTCACGGAAGGTTGGTGCTGATGATGTTTGGCCCAACGGATCCGGAATATCTTGAGTATATAACTGTATATAAAAGTGGAAAAGTTCAGCCTTAATCGTTTGACTAATACCATTCTTAAAATCTCCTCAATAAAACTTGATTCTAGTTCATGATCATGAAGTAATCATATCTCTGACAATATCGTCATTCGACTACTTGGTTCAGTGCCTCGTCATAAGAAAGGTTTAAAATAAATTCATCTGTTGCTGGTTGATGGAGAATTCAATAAGCATTAGGATGATATATTTAACCTACGGAAACACGTTTGATAGCTCTCAAAGTATATTGGACAATGAAAATAGATAGATTCAGATATATACCGTACCTGACTTGAAGTCCCAGATTTTGATTCAAAGTTCGTAGTATTATTTCTTATAGAAAAATAGAATGGTTTTAAACTATACATATTCATACTGTTTAAAATCTAGGGCGAGTCTTTTGGTGGGGATTTGTAGATACTAGGTCACTTGTGGTATGTTTAATCATCCTAGTGTTCTTACTTAAAATCCTAATGTATGGTAGTTTATCAGTGTTATACTTTCATGTACCTCCAACTTCTCTTGTCATCATTTTTGAAAAAAAGTACGGCTTTACACGAACTTTCGA